TTTTATGCACCTGCTTTGACAAAAGCTAATACTGAATGTCAGAGTAGTCATCAATAGCCAAATTTTGCACCTAAAGATTTTAAATCGGCAAGGCATAAAAACTACCCCTAAATATTTGCTATGAGCATTTATGCAGCCAATAGCAATAGTATACTGTAATACTGTCAAGGCCACTGGCCTGGAAACAAAAGACTTCGAAAGCCATTTTGAACCTACTACAATATTAGATTGTATAGCCTAAGTTCAATTATATGACCACTGCATGGTGAGTTAGGTTATCAGACTAAATCAATGAGGACAATAGCACTATTTTGAAATGGCTGTTGCTGTATGTACATGTCATATATAACCAAGAAATGAAAAACTAGCTCAACACCTAACATACTTTGTGAATCAGGAGCTAATTTTTTTCTTCAGGGATGATCAAAGCATGAACAAATAGCTTTTAACTGGGTGGATTTCAAAGAAATAAATACAAGGAGAGCCTATTTAAAACAACAGAGACCTTGTATTTGTGAAATCTTAACAAAACTTAACCCTTGAAAATCGATTTAGTATAGTGAAGAATAGGAATAATGCCTCAGTACTAGGAATCTAATTAAGAACATTATGCTATAAAAACACATGTTGCAACATCAAATATTCAGTAATTTAAGAATGATTTCTCTCATATGTATTTGAAAGCTGCACTTGCAAATAAGACTCTAATGTAGATGATTATTAAAAACTTGTCTCATAACCTCTTAACTTTCTGAGCAGAGAGGATAAACAAAACATCAAATTAATAAACACCATGAAATGATACCAGAACACTATTCTAGAGGATCATCTAAAATTTTGTATAAAGTCAGAGAGTTCAGATCAATAGAGAAGCATAAAGATATGCCATCAATGTCAAAAACATAACAGGGCCCTACTTTTAGGGAATCCCGTTATCAACCAAATAATTTACAAACTCTGATGGACTTTTCCTCAGAGTCTGGTCAGCAGACTGCAGTTGTAACACATGAAAATCCAAACTCTAAAGTCAACCAAATCTCATGTCTCAGGTGCATATGAAGCAATTCTGAATCCATTTTACATTCAGTAATAACTTCAACAGACAACTTAACAAGCAGTGTGATGTTCATAGATAGAGAACACTGAAAAGTCAGTTAAGTGTTTAGATAAGTATGCTTAACATTTAATCAATGATGGAATATAATCTCTATAGAAACCATATCCTATACTCTTCAACTAAAATTTAATTGTTCTTATGCATAAAATAATCCAGCCAGAAGCCACACAGCATAGGAAAATATAACTGCATGTTCCAGAAACGTTTATAGTCCTCTTAACATTTTTCTTTTGATTTTAAGAGACAAACACAACTCAGTTTAGGGGTATTAATTTGTCGATTTTGAATTAAAAACCAAATTTCAGGAGCATAATCTGCCTGGTGTCATACTACCCATTAAACTGGTTATTTAATATGGTATTTGGTGGTGGAAAAAAAGTTGATATGAATTGGTAAGGCTGGAAGACATGAACACAAGAGCCTAGTTCAAAAACATGTCCTCCTACCTCAAGAGTCTCCAAAGAATCTCCAAAAACATCAGCAAAGTCTGATGGACTTTTCTTCAGAGTCTGGTCAGCAGGCAG